CCCATCCCAAATCCCGGGGTGAGCTGCCTCCCGATGTCCCTGGCCGAGCCCCGTCCCGCAGCCAAGCAGCCGGAGCTGGGGGGAGCTCGGCCCTTTGCCCAAGAGCCGCCTGTTGCTTGAACCAGCTGATGTTTGCCTGGCAAAGGCCAGTCCCCTTGCTGCCACCCCTGGCATATCTCCCCTCTCACCACGGGACACCTTTCTCTTTCTCTGTGACTTGAGAGATGCGTCCTACCACGCCGCTTCTGCAAAAGGCACCTGGGAACGAGCTTCTGGCTTCTGCTAAATCCTGAAGACCTGCGCCATGAATGCCTCCTTCTCTCCCCACACACCCCATCCCCAGCAAACCAGGTGCCCTGCACAGGGTTTGGGGGAAGAAACAGCTCCTGGTCATCCCCTACGGACCCTGGGGGCAGGACTGGGCTCCTCCACCCCCCGCCACGACACCTGTGGAAAGAAGCACAGGGTGGGCTGGGGGGAGCCCGGAGCAGGGGAAGGCAAAAATTGCCGATGGGGACAGCGGGGAGCTGCCACGAGCATCCCTGGTGCCGACCGGCTGTGGCCTTGGGCTCCAGCCACCCCTTGGGCTGAGATCAGAGGTTTTCTGGCATTTTCCGACTGTGACCTGAGCGTTCGCAGAGCAGCAGAGGCCGCCCGGGCACGGCACGGAGGGGCAGGGAACAGGGAGCTCCCACAGCCACCCGGGAAGGCAGCAAGGGAATCGCTCCGGTGCAAGATTCACCCCATACTGAAAGTGTGTGGGGGGAGCTGGAGGGGCAAGCGCAGCTCACACTACGCCTGGATTTAGGATGGATCAGTTTGCCAGCAGCTGACTCCTCTATAATTAGATGGCAGCGGCGGTACTGGAGCCAGCTCGGGGTGCAGAGCTCCAACCTCTTCCCATCCACAGGCGTGTCGTTAAAGGAAACTGCCCGTTTTCTGAAAGGGACACGAGGAATAAAATCCACTGCAAGGCGCTGCCTCTCCTGCAGACCCTTGGGGCCACCCTCGAGGAGAAGATGCCATGACAGAGCCCCAGAGGATGAAACCCGTTGGGATGCGGGGCTGGATAGCTTAGAGGTATTTTGTGCCACTTTGCCGATCGCCAGCCACGCTATCGAGGGGCTGGAGGGAGCTGCAGCCCTGCCCGGCTTGGGGGCTGCAGGCTGGGAGCCACACGTGGCCAATGCCCCTCATCTGCAGCCCCCCGAGCTGTGTCCCAGCTCTGCCCCGACTCCTGCGTCACTTGGGGAAACTCCGTGGCCCCTTCCCGAGGTCCCACAGCCCCGGGCTGGGCCCAACCATCCCTCTTCCCATCTCTGCCATCATCCCACGGGAGCTGAGAGAGGCGGGGGAAAGGGACGGCTGGCAACCACGTGGGAGGCTCCAGGCTTTTATCTTGGACCCGGGTTTTCAACAGATGTGGCGTGAGCAATGTCTGTAAGGCAACAAGATCAGCATCATTGCTCAGAGATTAAAGGATTTAATCATCTGCTGGCAAGATGTAATTGAAAGAGGCAGAGCTCTGGTTGTACAGCGCTCAACAAACACACCGGGGCGTTCCCATGCTTCCCCCGAGATCCCTCCAAACCCTCCTGTAAACAGAACAAATCCCCAGTGGGTGTGGGGCAGGCCCCTTTCTGCACGGATCCGGGGACGAACGCTTCATCTCCCTTTGTAGGTAACTACTTATTTATCGTTAACGTGCTTCTAGGCAGCCCTTCCTTCAGTGACCTCAAGCTGCTCCACAAAGAATAAGGAATTGGAGGCGGCGCTGCCTCTGCGGCGAGTCCCCGGGCGCTGGGGGGAAGCGGTGCTGCCGCTTGCCGGAGGTCGAGGCATCATTCAGCAGCGGCGGCGAGCCGCTTCTCAGTCCCTTGTTCTAATCGCTGCCCCGCTCCCTGGTGAAAAACCTTCGGAAACAAGGCAGTGACTGGCTCTGCAAAGCACTGGCGACAACAATGCCGAGCTTCTTCCCCTGCTCGCCGGCGGCGGGGGATCATGACCCAGCGTGAGCAAGTGATGCTACGACCCGAGGGCAGAAACTTTTGGCTGCAGACAGAAGGGCTGAACCTTCAGGCTGTGCTGGTGGGGGGAGCGGAGGCACGGCAAGACTGGTCTCCGTAAGCGTTAAATTTGGGGAAGGAGCCCTTGCTGCGAGCGCACGGCGGGGTCTGCCCCGTCGCCGGACTGGGCAGAAAAGCTCCTCGGGCACATCCAAGCTGTGGGGCCGCCCGCCCTGGCACCGCCTCGCCAGAAGCTGAGCCGAGGTGACTGTGCAGAAATAAGAGACGTGCCCGGCACACCGAGCCCTCTGCCAACGGCGCGCCGGGCTCTGCGTGACCTTCGCGTCCTCCCTGGCGCCTGGAAGCGCTGGCCGAGTCCTGCTCCCAACGGGGTGGTGCCAGCTGGGACAGAAAATGGGGGAGAAGGCCCCTGTTTTGGGGACGGGGAGCTTGCCTTTCTTGTTCCTTTGATTCTCTGGCTGTCCACTACAGCCCAAGAGGCAGGGATGTGCGATCCAAGGCGGTGACACCCTGACCCGGCCGGCAGCGGTGGCAGGACCCGCTCCAAACACCAGCCTGTCCTGCCGCTGGCAAAATGCCCTTTCCAGAAGCTGCTCGGTCGAGTTGCGTGGATCAGCTGGAGGCAGCAGTGTGGTTGGGAAAGCTGGGGAGACCCAACGCCACGTACGCAAGTATCTGCAAGAGAGGAAAGCGGTGCGGGGGACCCTCCTTGCATTGCTTTTACTTCCCTTCCTCAGGAATGAATCTTCCGGACAAAGCTTATTGGGTTCTCCAGGGGCGCCCCAAAAAATTCACCCGGCTCCCGGGTATAGTTTGGTATCGATGTATTTTGAGTTCCCCTGCCACGACGACAACAGCAGCGAAATCAAATGTGCCCACGGCCAAGGGGATGGCTGGAGTTCAGAGCTCCTGGTCTGGGCCAGGGTAGTGGCAGCACGGACCACGCCGTGGTCAGAGCAAGAGCAACGGTGTCGCACGGCAGGAGATGGAGCAACATCAACCCCTTTTGCTGTTCCTCCTCAGACAGCATCCTGAGCATCGGGGGCTGCTCCCGCCAGCTTCCCTTGGGGCAAGTTTTGGGTTCCAGCCGCTCCTGAAGTGGTGGGACCGAGGGCTGGGAGGGTCTGTGCTGGTGGGCTCCGTGGGAGCTCATCCCTCAAGGCGAGGAACCAGAAATGGTGTGGCCAGAACCTCCTCAGCTGGCCCGACCCGTGCCGAGCAGCGGAGCCCCTGTCCCTGCCCTGGCTGGAGGAGGAGTTGGAGAAAACAAAGCTGCTTTTTCGCGGCGGCAGTAAGGGCTGCTGCTGCCTCCTGGGTGACAAAGATCCCTTCCATCCCTGTGTGCACAGAGGGCCGGGCCCTGCTTTGTGAGAGGATTTGAGTAACCAGCAAGCCCAACGTGTTGCCACCCTCCTCAAGCAAACCTCCCCAGCCTTAAAACGCTGTTGCACAACTCGCTCGTGATTCACTTTTCCCCTCCCCGCGGTGAGAGCGGGAGGGCATGCCTCTGCCTTGTGGTGTTGCAACCCCCCCCCCCCCCCCCGCTGCTCAGCTGTTCCCGACAGCCGGGTCCTGCTGGCTCTCCAGATTCCTCCTAATTTGGGAATTACCCCTCGCCACATCAGATAAGTGTCCTCTGGAGATCGGGGCTGAAGATCCTTAGGGAGATGTGGTGGGGAGAGCTGTGAGAACCATCCCACCCCTCACCAGCCATCCCCAAATCCAGCAGCCCTGCAGTGACCGGGACTCAGCAAGCAAGAGCGTCCTTGGCTTTGGCAGGGTGTCTCCCATGGGATCAGTTCCCTCTGGGGGTAACGTTTAACATCGGGGGTAACGTTTAACATCAGGGCCAGTCTTAAGACGTCAGACGGAAAATACTTTGCCTTGCTTGCAGTGGGACATGCGAGATTTCGCATTGCTTCCTCTCTAGGATCCTAAAAGATAAACTGCCTTGGAGCCCGTTAGCAAACTCTCTAGGACAAAAGGTTATTGCAAACATCGGTGCAAACATCTGGCGATGCGCTTGTGCTGATAAACCTGTGGAAGCCGCCTGCCCATGGGTCCCCAGCCGGTATCTGCGGCAGCGCCCTCGCCACCGAGCTCTGGGTGAAGATCGGTGGTTTTTCTCCTCCTCTGCTCAGGAAGCGTTTCGTACGGTGCCCTTAAACTGATCCAGCGAAGCGCTAAAAATAAAATCCTCCTCTGCGAGGCCGCAAACTCCCGCCCTATTTGCTGTGTCAGCTCCTGGAGAGAACCGGCTGCGAGAGCTCCAGGTTTCTGGAGGCAGAGGCTGGTACCCAGCTCAGCGCAGCCACCAAGGCCTGAAAAATGAAGATACAAAGGAAAAAAACACCCAAGCTGCCTTCAGGGATGCGCCGAGGCGCTTTGGGAGGGGCTGGGTGGGAGGGATGCGGCTCCTATTAAAGCTTTCGGGGTCACTCGCCCTGCAAAAAGGGGGGGGGAAGTGACCGGTCGCAGAATGTTTAATGATGTCAGCGATCGGCGGTTGTGCGGCGTTGCTGGAGCACAACGGCGTGGGTGCGCCGGTGGTCGCTTACAAAAGGGGGGGGGGGGGCTGGGTGAGGCGAAGGGGGGGGGTCTCCGGCAGCCCCCGCCTCCCACCCGTGAATTTACCGGGGGGTGATGTCGGGGGCGCGGAACGGGGTAGGGCGCGGCGCCTCCTCCCCCCCGCCAGGGGGCGCCCTCCCCCTTTCCCCCCGCCCCCAGGGTGGTGGCGAGAGTGACAGGCAGGGCGTAACCCCAATGGGAGCCCGGCGGGGGGGGGGGAGGCTGGAGGCACCGCCCCTCTCCCCCGAGGCTCCGCCCCCCGGCGTCACCGTTTCCCCCTTCCCCGCCCCGCCCCGCGTAGCCGCCGGGGGCGCGCGCGTCGCGTCGCGTCGCGCCGCGTGCTGACGCGAGGGCGTGCGCGCCCCCGCCCGCAGGCCTGCGCGGTTACCGAGCGGCGCGCGCAGCCGCGGGCAGCGCCGCTGAGGAGCCGCCGCTGCCGCCGCCCCGGGGGAGCCGCGCCGAGCCGAGCCGAGCCGCGCCGAGCCGCGCCGCGCCGCGGGGTTATGAGGCCGGGCCCCGCCGCCACCTCCCCGTGAGGAGCAGCGGGCCCGTGGCGGCGCGGGGAGCGCGCCAGGCGCCGGGGCCGCCCCGCGGCAGGAAGCCATTTTGTGGGCCCCCTCCTCCTCCTCCTCCTCCTCCTCCTCCTCCTCCCTCTTCTTCTTCTTCTTCTTCAGCCGCCGCCCTCGCGAGCGGCGCGGCCGGTGCTGCCGGGCGGGCGGAGCCGCGGCGGGAGCGCCCGGTGAAGGAGGGCGGGGGGGGCGGCGAGCGGGGGGCCAGAGCGGGCGGCGGCGGCCGCCGCGCCTCCCCATGGCGAAGAAAACCTACGACCTGCTCTTCAAGCTGCTCCTCATCGGGGACTCGGGGGTCGGCAAGACCTGCGTGCTCTTCCGCTTCTCCGACGATGCCTTCAACACCACCTTCATCTCCACCATCGGTCAGTGCCCCCCCCCCCACACCCCTCCCCAATCCCTGGGGTGCCGTGTTCCCCCCCCCCCCCCCCCCCCCCCCCCGGTGGGTCCGTACCCCCGGGCACCCCCCCTCCAGCACGGCCGTTCCCGCTCCGGTGGGCTCCTGCAGCCCCTCCCCTGCCCACCCCGGGGGTTGCAGCCCCCCCGCTCGCTGCGTGTTTTCCCCGCGGGTCCTGCGGGACCCCCTGTCCCCCCCCCCTTTCGCCTCCCCGCTCTCGCTGCCGACGAGGAAGCCGCGGAGAGCCCCGGGGCACACCCGGCACCGGCTTCGCCCCTGCTGCAGGGAGGGAGGGAGGGTTTGCTTTCTCTCCGCAGTTGAGCGCAGCAATTTTCTCCGCTGTCGGTGACCCTGAGCGACCCTCTCTTGCCCTCCCGGGAGGGGGGGGGGGGGTTGGCAGCGTGTCCCCCCGCACCCTCTCCCAGCTGACAGCGAGAGCTCCTTCCCTCCGTGGATCACCTCTGTCCCCCTGCACGCCCGAGGGCGGTGGGGTTGCCAGCCCTGCACGGTATCTTCACCGCTATTGATGTGGCTTGGCAGAAATGATTCCACTGGTGGGTGGGGTCTGGTTTCTCACCCAACAAAGCTGTCCTTCCCTCCCTCCTGCGTGAGCTGCTGGGCTTCTGGCAGAGCTGACCTGGCGTGCAGCTCCTGACTAAGGTAGTTTCTTTGACACCATGAAGGAGAGCTGTGTATTTTCCTAGGCTTTCCTCTTTCCGTTTTATCTGTGCTGTGAGACAGGCTGTGTACCTAACATCCTTTCTCTCTAGGCTTATCAGAGTTTTGTTTTTCTTCTGAATGCCATCTTGTTTTGCAGATGAAGAGTTCAGGTCAGCAGCTTCTAACCTTCCTGGTGACCGACTCTGGCAATTTTAAAAGAATTCATGCCTCCACTCTTTCTTGCAGTACTTGCTGGTGTAACATGTGCCAATACCTACCACGCATCCAGAAAAAAAATCTTTTTTTGGGGAGGGTTGAATTAAATGTGGCATTTTGTGCTTGACCTAAATCCCTTAAACGAGTGGCTGTACAGCTGCTCACCAAGTATCAGTGTAAACCTTAGTGCTAATGTAAGTATGCACCTGTGTACTTCCCCATCAGTGTCGAAATGCCACCTTAAAAATTGCAGCTCAGACTGAGACGTAAAAAGACGCTCTTAAGCAAGCCTTGGGTAATTGAAGAGTGTATTTGGGGGACACCTAAGTGTCGAGAGACAGTTGTTGCCTGAAAGTTCTTTGGGCCTCAACTCAAGGTTTTGCTTAATTGTTGTTTGGGGGGGATGGGGTCTCTGTGTGTGTGTGACAGTTGCTTTGTCTTGTCTCCTAACATCACATACCTTGGCTATTGAAGGCTCTATTTATTTTGCTGCCGTGGCCATAGTGTAATTCTGCGCTGCTTGGCAAATTCTCGCCTGGATCACATGGCGTTTGTTGCTTTCCGAGTTTGCTGGGAAGGTTTATTTCAATTCTCAAAGTTAAAAATAGTCAATGTCTTAGTTAAGGAGTCAGTGGATATATGGCGGCTCTTGCTCCAGAGAACTTGCACTTTTAGTGATCAGGGGTTTTAGTAATTACTATTATTTCTCGGTCTAACTGCAGCTTTTGAGTGTTCAAGCAGAGTATCATCAGATTTAGTAGCAAGGGTGCATGTGCAGTGTCTGGAAATGTTTCTGAACAGTCAAACCAATTTAGACCAGTTGGCATTTATGTCTGGAGTACCTAAACTGTTCGTAGTGCGTGTATAACAGAAGGCAAACAAGTTTTATTTCTTAAATTCTGAAGTAAATGCCTAGGTATGGTAGCTGTGAATACCACCTGATGACTGGTCCATGTGTCAGAGTGTGTCAGACCTGTGTCTTCATGGTGGAATTTCACAGATTTTGGGGTACAAATAGATTTTCTGTGTGGTGCTGAATTCCAGGTGCTTAACTACCCCAAGATGGCTTAAATGTGTTGTTTCCTTAGCTCTTCTAGAAGTAACTGGTTAGTGAGGAGACCTGGTGAGAAAGTGTCCTGTGCAAGCTGTGTCACCTGGAAGGCACTCTACGTTAGCACCTTTTAAAAAGCAGCCCATCTGTAAAGGAAAAATCGTGAACTGGGTTAGAACACCTGTCCACTTTGTTGTTCTCTGCATTACTACAACAAATCTCAAACTACCACCAGTAACTACAGTTTTTAGACTTCCTCAGATTCTCCTCTGCTGCAGCGGTGACGGCAGCAGTGGCAATACAGGGATGTAACATGGAGCCTGAAAAGGTGCTTGGCCTCGTGGTACCTGCTGAGATAAATCCCCCTGCAGTAGCGCACAACTTGGGCTGCTTTTGCAGCCCGGAGAGGAGAGTTTCAGGAAAAAATTTCAGATGGGAGTCTTTGACCCGTAGCAACGAGGAAATACCATTTCCAAAGGACTCGTGTACACAGTAGATGATGTTGAAGGTGATTGGCATACTGATGGAATCTCTCCTTATATTTAAAAAAATAATATTTGATAGCTTGTTAGCTCTGATTCATCCTTTTGTGTTTACACTGAGCTCCACCAAGAACCTGAGATAGTCAAGCATGTAAAATGTACGGCAGTACTGGTGGCTGTAAGCAGGGACTGGTTCAGTCTTTCTAGGGAAAGGCGGGTCTCAGAGAGTGTTGAAACTAGCCTGTATATATAAAAGATGAGTGGGGGGAAGTGTTTTAATTATATAAACCCAAAAGCTTGTCTGCATATGTGAGTGAAGATAGTAATGCATTTCTGTTTCACACTAGTGACTTACATTCACTTTTATCTTTACACATTTTAAAGATTGATTAAGGATGATCCATGATGGCAGTTTGGATATAATTTACTGTATGTGTAATTCAGTATACTCTCTTTAACATTTGACTTTGACTCACTTTAGTCTAATATTTCCTGCTAAAACAGCAGTTAAGCTTTTGGATGTGATGAGGTGCATGTGTGAGTGATTTCATTACCATGTCTAGAGGTACTATAAATAATCCAGATGGCACTTCTGCAAGAATCCCTAAGTCATCGTAACCTCCCTGGAGAGAGCAGGGGCCTTGTCCTCAAATGCTGTGTGGCTGTTTTCAGGTGGAAAGGGAATAAATTGTAGAAGACTTAGGCCATCACAAACTTTTTTTAATTCTAATAACTCTTCAGTAATCCTCTGGTGCAAAAAGTCATTTTTACAGTATCTTTTTTTGAGAAATTGTGGTAACTTTCCAGTTGTGCTGTAAGGATTCTCTGCAGCTGGGTCAGGTCTGTGGATGGTAGCTGTTCCTCTGGGCAGTGGTGTTGCTCCCTGGTGCTCCTAAGCGCTGAGTACTGGAGCTTCTTTTAAACAGGCTGCTGCCTGGTCTTCCCTCTCCTCACGTGCTACTAATTTTCGTACTTTCTCTGCTGCCGCTCATGCTACCAGCAGATTTTCCTTATTTTTAGTATGAAAAACATTAGTATAAGTAGCTTCCAGTCAACGTATACTTGAGATCTGAATTTTCTTTAGTAATTTTTTTTTATTGGCATTCAGCGTGTCAAGTTGATGACAGCTTGAAGTGAACTGTCAAAAAACGATCTGTCGGAGCTCTGCGGGCACGCCTCGGGAAGGGCACGCCTCGGGAAGTGTTCGGGGTCAGCAGGTACAGCGCTGGCCTTTTCTGCCTGGGCACAAGCAGGTAGAGAGGGCTGTTCTTGCAGGGATGTCCGTCTAAAAATCTGAAAGTCAAAACTGAACTCAAGCATATAATTGCTATTGTTTGACTAAGTAAAAAGGCAAAGGAAAGTGAGTCACAAAAAATGTTTTCCCATGAAATCTGACTACCTCTAGTAATGTGCTCAGGAGAACAACGTGTCTGTAATTATTGTGAAATACTCTCTAAATGCTACTGATGCAGGTAACGCATTCATGGGTCTTGACCCATACTGAAGATGCAGTTGTGTTCTCTATTCCTGGTCTTTACTCACATTGACTGCAATTCTACAAATCCAAAGAGAGGGAGAAAAAGCAGTATCCTTTTTGAGGTTTGATTAGGCCATATTTTACTCTGAACATGGCAAGATCTTGGTGCCAAAGCCGTGCTAGGAGTGTGCAAAACTGTATTGTTTTAAATGCAGAGGTATATGAAAACTACTTGCTGATTAAATCCTTTTTTCTCAGTTGTTTGTTTTTTTTTTTTTTTAATTTCTTTGCCCTTTATTAGGAGTGATTTTTGGCTGGTGAAGCACTTGCTCTGGAATCACTGCATATTGGTACATTAAAGCAGTGAAATGTTTTTAAAGTCCTCAGATATAAAAAATAGTAATTATAACAGGTTTCTTCATCTTCTGAGGATTTGTTTGTTCATGATTATGATATATTAATATTGGGAAGGAAGTAGTCCCAGGTAGAGAATGGGGGAAAACTTGGTTAATTGTGGGAAAACAAATTAGGTAGAAATTATGTTTTGAATTGTGAAAATGCTTTCAGCCGTATGGTGGTTGCAATGAAGTTGGAAAAATAAGTAGTTTCTGGGGTCCAAAAAAAGAGTATTACTGCAGCAGTTGAAAGTTCTGGCTTGCTTTTTCCTTATTTTTTTTTTTTTTTTGTCTCATATTTATAGCTTGTTGGCTCGCAGGAGCAAGAAACAACTTGGAGTTTTGTTTTTGTTGTGCCCAGACTGTGGGTTCAGGCCGTATCTGACTCCTGATGTGGTGCAGGTGAATTAGGAAAAAAACCAAAAAACAAAACAAACAAACAAACAAAAAAAACCAACAAAAAACAACAAACCAAACCACCACCCTCTCCCTGCCCCCCACCCCAACTCCTGTTCAGTCATTTCTGTGACGTGGGATCCAGAAATCATCAGGCATCAAGAGATGCAAAAAACCTTTTCTATGTGTAGGTAATTGAGCTGTAAAACTTGCTGTCACAGGAAGTTTCGGAGGGGAAAATACACACGGGTTCAGAATGAAAGCAAAAAATTGAAGTGGACCCATCGGTGG